GCACTGCAATTCAGGGTTTAGGGTTTAGGGTTTAGGGTTTAGGGTTTAGGGTTTAGGGTTTAGGGTTTAGGGTTTAGGGCTTAGTGTTTGTGATCTAGCAGCCTGGCTTTAAGCATGGCGACATGACCCCAAGCCCCCAAACCCTTCTTGGAGGTTCGTGCATACTTCTAAGTAGGGTTATGCGTACGGTAACTATGGTTGTAACCATGTTTACATACTTAGGGACTTGCAACTACCCGCGAGACCTCCAAGCCCTAAACCCTAAACCCTAAACCCTAAACCCTAAACCCCTAACCCTAAACCCTAAACCCTAAACCCTAAACCCTAAACCCTAAACCCTAAACCCTAAATAGAGCATGCAGCTGTAAGGGAGCGCCGAAAACGACGGCGGCAACAGGGGATTTCGGTCCGGAACGTCACGACTCTCTGGAAGTCCTCGAGTCGAGGGGCCACGGGAGGGGCCTCATAAGAGGGTTTAGGTAGCCCTAAATCCTAAACCCTAAACCCTAGCCCTAAACCCTAAACCCTAAACCCTAAACCCTAAACCCTAAACCCTAAACCCTAAACCCTAAACCCTAAACACTAAACTCTAAACCCTAAACCCTAAACCCTAAACCCTAAACCCTAAACCCTAAACCCTAAACCCTAAACCCTAAACCCTAAACCCTAAACCCTAAACCCTACCAGGTACATGTGTGAAGGTTACATGTGGTCCCCTTCTAAGGGTCCATCCTCGTGTCTTTTACGACACTCTCATGCCAAGATCCATGAGAAGGGCAAGGGTTTTGGGTTCGGGGTGCAGGGTTTGGGGTTCAGGGTTTGGAGTTTGGGGTTTGGGGAGGCTGCTGCTGTGCTGCTGAGCTCGCACTTAAACTCAGCTGCCAGAATATGTATATCCAGAAGTTCACCTGCTTTCCTGGGCACAAGTGGGCTTCTTGCATCGCACTTCTGACGACGTGGACGGGTGAAAATGCTGCACATGGAGCAGGGAAGGTTGGTTCGATGCATCATTTAAACGCAATGCAATGCTTGGCAGTGGAGATCAGATGGTAGGTGGGTGCCTAAACAGGTTCCAGCATGTTGCAGAAACATCGGCGGACGGAGAAATTGAAAACATGCAGCTAAACTCGAAGTGGTAGAAGACGGCACAACAAGATACACCGACAGAGAAAAGCAAATGTAGCCCTGGCGGAGAACACCCTAAATCCCAAACGCTAAACCCTAAACCCTAGACCCTAAAAAGGGCCTTGCTTTGGAAACCCACCAGCCGGCGTATCAAGCCCTAACACACCCCTCACGCGCACCCCAAAGCCCTCCAAGCCGAACAATGACCCTTCAAACAGCTGCCCCCCCCCCCCCCAAGCCCGAAGCCCTAAACCCTAAACCCTAAACCCTAAACCCTGAACCCTAAACCCTAAACCCTAAACCCTAAACCCTAGCCCTAAGCCCTAAGCCCTACACCCCCCGCTTGTCCCGAGCGCAGCGGCGCCGGGTGGGCGGGGAGCGGATCGCGAAAGTCTCCTCGAAGTGGGCCTGCAGCCAACAAGAGAAACACGAGACAGGGGCTTAGGGTTTGGGGCTTGAGGGTTTAGGTGTTTAGGGTTTAGGGTTTAGGGTTTAGGGTTTAGGGTTTAGGGTTTAGCGTTTAGAGAGGGCTAGGGCCAAGGGCCTAGGGCCCAGGGCTTAGGGCTTGGGGCTTAGGGCTTAGGGCTTCGGGTTTAGGGCTTGGGGCTTAGGGCTTAGGGCTTAGGGCTTTGGGCTTTGGGCGTTGGGCTTAGGGCTTAGGGCTTAGGGCTTAGGGCTTAGGGCTTAGGGCTTAGGGCTTAGGGCTTAGGGCTTAGGGCTCAGGGCTTAGGGCTTGGGGCTTAGGGCTTAGGGCTTACGGCTCAGGGCTTAGGGCTCAGGGCTCAGGGCTCAGGGCTCAGGGCTCAGGGCTTAGGGCTTAGTTAGAGGTTTGTAGGCGTCGTTGGTTTCAGAATCCCTGTCGCAGTTGAGTTAACTCTAGACTAGGGTTTGACTCAGCGAAAAAATGGCTAAGAGAACAAAACCGAGGAAGGGAGATGGTACGACGAAACGAACGTGATTTTGGGGTATTCTGACTATGTCAAAAACGTTGGCAACTAAACCCTAAACCCTAAACCCTAAACCCTAAACCCTAAACCCTAAACCCTAAACCCTAAACCCTAAACCCTAAACCCTAAACCCTAAACCCTAAACCCTAAACCCTAAACCCTAAACCCTAAACCCTAAACCCTAACCTATTTATGCTCAGCTGTACCAAGTCCGTCGAGGCCTCCTGAGGGCTGCAGCGTGGGCGCGCGCAGCCACGGATCTGCGCACGGCGATCCTGTCAAATCCAGTAGCATTTCGGAGGGCCTTGGGGGGGGGGGGGGGGGGTTTTAGGGTTTAGGGTTTAGGGTTTAGGGTTTAGGGTTTCGGGTTTCGGGTTTAGGGTTTAGGGTTTAGGGTTTAGGGTTTAGGGTTTAGGGTTTAGGGTTTAGGGTTTAGGGTTTTAGGGTCTAGGGCTTAGGGTTTAGGGTTTAGGGCTTGGGGTTTCGGATTTAGGGTGCCGTCTGCCCCCCAGCCTGGCAATGGAAATTCGGCCTGCCAGTCAAAGGTCTTGGCAAGTCCACGTTGCACTGTCTACTCGGTTCACGGGCACTGTTTTGGTAGTGTCATAAGTAGGGCAACTATGGTCATCCCCTTAACTTAGGGTACTTAGAACCGTGATAAGAGTACCCGTGAACCTTGAAGTATACTGGCTTTCATGGCAACTCCACCTCCACTTGGTGAAGGCCGTGGTCCCACACCCGTCGAGGATTGCCTCGGGAGCATCTTGGCATCGCTGAATACAAGCGCAACTCTGTGAGCCAGACTGAATACATGGATCTTGCGGCTTTGCTTGTATAAGCCCTAAACCCTAAACCCTAAACCCTAAACCCCTAAGCCCTAAACCCTAAACCCTAAACCCTAAACCCTGAACCCTAAACCCTAAACCCTAAACCCCTAACCCCTAAACCCTAAACCCTAAACCCTCGAATCCGAAACCCTCAAGCCCCATAAGCTGCAAAACCTACAATCCCGCCATCGCACCTGCTGGAGCTCCGCCGGGATACTGTGCGGGGCTCCTTAAGCAGAATCTTCGGCTGAGCTCAGAAAGTCGTGGTAAAGGAGGGAGTCAAGGAAAGTATAAGAGGGCGCATAAGGGGGCTATAGTGGGGGCCCTAAACCCTAAACCCTAAACCAACCCTAACCCTAAACCCTAAACTTCAGGTATGAGGGGGTACAAGGTCGGCCAGTGGAGGTTGGAAGATCTGAGTTTCCCGCAGAGCATAGCTGCGAGCCTGAGAACCATAGGAGTTGCCACACCAAACTACTTGGAGGTTCAGTACGGTACTTAAAGGTGGGGTTATAAGTAGGGTAACTATGGTTATTGCCTTATCTAGGGTCCCTATGACCCCACTTATAAGTACCCATGAACCTCCAAGTACAGAACATGGCCACACGCTACTCGGAAAGGCTTCCGACGTGCAGCTGCGCTCGGTGATGATCCATGTGCGGCCAATTGGGGTCCTTTGTTGTGGCAAGCGAAAGACAGTATGGACAGACCCGGACCCTGTGACATCGCTGCATATCGCTATGCAGTGGGACATGTTCTCAGCACAAAGAACCCAAGCAAACGGCATGTTGCGCCACATCAACAATAAGCACAAATACACACCCTAAATCCTACACCCTGAACCCGAACGAGCTTTAGAGCTTTCCAAGCGCCGCGTCGTGGAGCTTGATATATGCAAGCAAGCTGCAAGCGCATCTCCATCAACAATCGAGGTAGCTGATCCCATTCTCCGTTCAGCACTACCTCTTGAACCTAAAGATAACATGTCGCCATTCAAGCACGGCTGTGTTTTTGTACGATCAGATCCGTACGTATGCCCACAACGCGATGAGTGTATGAGCTCGTGTGCTGCTAGAACAAATTCTCGTATGTTGGGACGCAGCTTCTTTCATGCATCTTCGCAACTTCCGTTTCAAGCTTCTGTTTCTTTTGGATTCCTGCCTTTTGTCCCAAGAATGACTCCAATTTATCGAAGGAACGTCAGTTTGGAACTTAAACCCTAAACCCTAACCCCTAAACCCTAGCGTTTCTGCTACTACAATATGATACATAGCACTATTGACTTGTATTGCAGTATAGTATTCTTATATTGCACTACAGTATCATAGTATGTTTTATTACATTATATTATATACTATTCTATATTGTATTGTAGTATATTATTTTCTATTATAGCATTCTTATCATTTTGTGAGAAAAGTATTTTGGTAGCCTATGACAATATAGAATTCAACTCTCGATCCAGACATAACTTTCGGCTTGGACGTTGCACCGCGGGTCTCAGGGGCTTAGGGTTTAGGGTTTAGGGTTTAGGGTTTAGGGCTTGGGGTTTCGGGTTTAGGGCTTAGGGCTTAGGGTTTAGGGTTTAGGGTTTAGGGTTTAGGGTTTAGGGTTTAGGGTTTAGGGTTTAGGGTTTAGGGTTTAGGGTTTAGGGTTTAGGGTTAGGGCCTGTAGCTGCGATAGCTTCAGGGTGCCGGCAGTGCGTGCACGGCTACGGAACAACGCCGTTATTGTGTTGCTGACAGCACCCGTAAACTCGAAAGGCACGCTTGAAACCTACCCTGCAACCTGAGCCCCTAAACCCTAAACCCTAAACCCTAAACCCTAAACCCTAAACCCTGAACCCTAAACCCTAAACCCTAAACCACAAACCCTGAAAAGCGCACGCTTTCTGCCAGCGAAGCCCTGTCCGTTGGCGGAGCCCCAAGCTGTGTGCACACAGATCAAGCCCTGAACCCTAACCCCATAATACCCCAATACCATCAAACCCTAAACCCTAGACCCTAAACCCTTACTGCCTAATCCCAAAACCCTAACCCCAAAGCGCCGATGCGTTTAGAGCGAGGCCCCCCGAGCTTCGAGGATTGGCGAAGCTGAGGGA